CATATATATAACTTTAAATACATACATATTATAAATATAAACACCCATGACTGGAGTACAAACGTTCGTGCGAGTCATCACACAATGAATACCCCCAGCGGGACTCGAACCCGTGACCGCAGGCACAGCAAGTAGGGTCACTAAATACTGAGCCAAACGTATCATTAAAGTTAAATTTACTATTAAAATTAAAGGGCATGTACAAAATATCTTCCCGATGAAACGATACACCAACCTTTTCATTTTTATCGAAAGCAATGATATCCTCGCGGATAGTGAAAAGAGAAACAAAGTGAGAATAAAAAGTGGTATGAAAATTCTATGGAGTGCAATTTTGCGATAGAGAACTGAATGTGAACTATAAACAAGGTTACAATTTTAGAGCCTCTGTTAAGAACTATTTTTATATATTCGGTACGAGTATATAATATACTAGCAGTACCCACGGCTTCGCTCGCGCTAAAACTACAGAAAAATCTCTAAAAATGAGTTTCATACAAAATTTTCATCCCCTTTTTTACCCCCTAATAGGATGAATTTCAAAAAATGCTAAAACATGTATTTATTTAATTTTATTGAAGAGCATTAATACCAAGTTTCAAGTAATTCTGGTCATAAATATTTTTTTGAATTGTCATATGACGTGTTTTCCCGCGAGAATGAGATAATCTTCCGCGGTACCAAAAAAATCACGCCAATCCGTTCGTTCTTCGTTTTGACGTGAAAGAAGGACAAAGAAACAGACTTTCACATTTATAATATTAGTATAATAGATTAATTTGCCGAAAAATTGTTATTAAAATTTGTATAGGATTTGTAGGTAAAAAAAGAATAAAAATACTATCAAATGAAATTAAATGGTCATATAATAATAAATAACATGTATTATATCATCTTAGTTCATAAAATCTAACACTGGCTGCCTTCTGGCTCTATAAATATGATGCATAAAGAAGAATTTTCTTTACATAATAAATGTGAGCACTAGCGAAGGAGTATTGAAGATTCCCCGAAAGGGGTTAAAAGGGGTGAAAGATTTGTATACAAGTGCTTAATTTTTTAAGTACAAAAACAAGTTATGTGTAAGCTTTAGTTAGTAAACTTTTAAAATTTTCGTGTTCATATTCTTTCATATGAAATAAAAATTCTAATGGTATATAACTCATTTACAGATCATATCTTATATAGTTTTTTCTAGTTATTCCGACTTTTAAGAAGTTGATCTTTAAAGCAAATAATCTATCTCCTTCCACAGATTTTAAAATATCCTCTTAAATTTAAAATTATTTTACCCATAAAAGCGAAATAAACAGACAGCATTCATAATAAGATACTGGGCAGACATACATTAAAAGATAATATATATCATATTTTTCAGTCAGTCATCTTCTTATCTTGCTACTACGTACATATTATATAAATGCATAAGTTTGGATGGATGACGCTAGAACGGCTGAACGGATCTGGATAAAATGGCACAGAGATAGATTATAGTCTGGAATAGCATATAGGTACACATTTTTATCCCGCAACAATGTACCATTCCCATGGGATAGATTTGTTTTTATGTTATGTTATACATTTTCTATATGTCTTAACTGAAAAATATTGAATAATAAAAAAAATCTGCGATATCTAGCGTATTACTAAGTACAAGTCAAATAAAAGCCGTATCATTGTCGTTTTCATTGTATTATGTAGGTTTTTTTGTATGTAACTCGATATCTCTGCAAAATGTGAACCGATATTGATGGTTTTTGTTTTAATGAATGTATCATAACGTCAAGGGTTTGAGTTTATAAGTTTGAAAATGACACCTACTCTTAATGATAAAACAATTTCTTTTTAAAATGATTTTATTAAACCCTTTTAAACGTCTTACTTTTCAATACAAGAGGGAACATGTCATAGACCATCACGCTGGCCAAGTGCGGACTGGCGGACTTCACATGTCTTTCGATAGACATGTAGGTTTTCTCACGACGTTTTCCTTCAACGTAAGGCATAGATAATCATAAATCAGAGATGCGAGACCCGGGATTTGAACCCGCTTCACTTGGTTTCCCACGCAAGCGCGTTACCATTGGGTATTTAAAATAAAATAGATTACCAACTTTATTCAAACGGCGTAATAAAGTGAATATGTACATAAAAAGTAATGATTAATTAACATTTAAGAACAAACGTTTAACAAATTTAATTCACTTACATTTGATTTGAAGAAGATATAAACCGCCATTTTAAACTAATCTCTATTTTTATTCACCCAATAATAAAAACGTTGTTCCCTTAGTGATGTTTGTCTATTGTCGGCTTCATAGCTCGTAAACTGGTTATTACGGATGTGACTTCACGCGTAAAACATGTACGCTTGAACTGACACTCGGTCTTTCTTTTGTAGAAATTATTAGAAAATATTATTGTTATGACATACGCGATATTTACAATGTTAATCACTTTTGATAGTTTCCGATATCATGAGTTCGTGACCATGACCGTTTGAAGACTTATATTATAAGAAAAACCTTACATTCTATAGAATATTCTTTAATAATGCTTGAAAATTATTTATCACGAGATTTCACTTCGACACACGACTCCCCTCGCATTTTATAATGATAAAACCCCCCTGTCGTTTTGTTCAGCATCTTCAAAATGAGTGAAATTCGTAATAGATATATATCTTATACTTTGGATTAATTTATAGTCTACCAGTGGTTTCCCTCGCTTCGCTTCGCTCGAATTCCTCCCTAGGTACATTTTAACGGTTTGTATGAACATCCCACAGGAACCTAACATTTTTTCGGGATAAAAAGTAATCTCCGTGCCAAATTTATCCAGATCCGTTCAGCGGTTCTAGCGTGTAATAACAAACTTTCATCTATCCAAACTGTCGCATTTATAATATGTATGTATTTATTATGGGATGGGATTTTTACAGACTAAATGAAAAAAAAAGTCTCTAAAAATCCTTAAAACGTTGCTATTAACCATATCGGTATTGGGTCTTAGGTCGCAATATTATAGTAAAGAGGACAGTCTGGGTGAACGCCAAAATCCCTCGATCGTTTGCAGTGAATGCCTACCTGAGTGAGAGATTTTTAGATATATTTTTTATTATAATGTATCTTACCGTGAGATTGAAATATTTTCCAGCCTACAACCAGCCAGACTAATGGGGTTTTGTATCTAGATATCTATTCATAAACTAAATCTGTAATAAGTATTACATGACCAATAAAAATATAATATACTAACGACTTAGGTGCTTTTGTTATTTATTGTACAGATAGCGTCACCTTTTGACCAGTATTATTAATTAAAACAGCCCATATGTTATTTTGTGTCTATATACTAAACATCCAAAACTATCTAGCCGTTTCTGTGTGAAGAACAAACAATCAAACTTTTCTATTTATAATTGCAGTGTGATTTATCTAAAACGGGACTTGAACCCAGACTCTGGCATGGGCAGATACTTTTACCACTACACGTTAGGTCATAATACCTTAAAGCTTTCAACATTCATTTGTATTAAATACGAAACAAAATTGAAAAAACCACAATACCTTCATTGTACATTTTCTATACATACTCTATATCCAGACTTCACACCGCAAATAAATAAACTAGATTATCACAGATGCCTCAGGGAAGTTAGCAAAATATTCTATAAAAGAATCAAGCAATAAATAACTTTATTTTATTAATCATAAGTATGATATTAGTATGCCAAAGTTAACTGAACTGCAGAAACTCGAATTTTGGATTCCGTATTGGAAATTGCTGAAATAAATTAGACCTTATGATTATAAAAATAGAATTGATATCAGCGCAAATAGCATATTACAGTCAATGTTTAAAATTTTCAAGTATATTCAAAATTAAACCTTATCGATATGATATACGGTCTAAATCTACTTCTCAAACTTTAAATATTGCAATGAAAATATAAAGCGCGTTATGATATTACATTCGAAGTATTGTAAAATCAACCTTAAGTTATGTTAGTTAGGGTTTAAACTTGTCGTTTAATATTATTTTGATATTAATTGGAAGCAAAAGCAACGTGTTGTGTAGAATAATGATTTTAGGATTCCCTTCTGTACAGTTAACTTACAATTGTTTGATGTATTCTTACCTAATAAATTCCGTACATTTTGTTGTCCAGTTTAAACACTCACTTGGCACTCGAATTTAATTTAATTTTGTTAAACCTTTCAATAACTAAAGTATCGGCCAGTATGAGTATTTCTATGTAAAATTTCATATTTTCGCTAAAATTATATAGGGATCTTTAATAATATTAAAAAGTGAAAACCATTTTAAATTTTATATTTCCATCTATTAAATAAATATATGTAAAAATTGATACAACTTATTTTAAGAAAAAGCTCTTTCAAAGAATATAATAAAATTCTGAGTAGAATCTGTACATTAAATATTTTTTGCAAAATTTTATTCAAATAGTCATTATTATTATTTTACGTAGGCCGAATGTCTGTCTGTCTGGGAACACATACGAGATAACTACTGGACAGATTTTGATGAAATTTGGTATGATGATATCTGGTAATCCGCTCAACATATAGGATACCTTCTTGCTTCGTGAAAATATCTCGTCTCTGAGAGATCTGTGCTGATAATTAAAACGTTTAGTTACTTATATTTTTATTATGTATACAATTTGTACAATCGCTATTCTAGAGATTACCTCCTACATACAAAATAACAGATAAATTTCGATAAATTAAACAAAATCTGAAGCAATTAATAAAAATTTTATAAGAAACAATATTATATTTTTTTCTCTACATACAAAAAACTCACGCCTATAATTCCAGCCCATATGTATACGGTTGTGATTATTTTCCTAAACTATATAACATGCACATTATAAATGTGTCTCGTATATAAGACACTTTTGATATACGCGCTTTTGGTGTAGTCAATTTTGAAATAGTGTTTATAAACGTTTTGATGTTATTTATGTAGACAAAATGTCTCAAATGCCGCAGCAGGGTTTTGTGCCTGAAAAAATTCAGGAGTTCAACCGAAGAGCGTCACAAGACGCTACCGATTCAGCTAAAAGAAATCCTCAAGATTCCAAAAAGGAGCTTAACCAAAATGACGTCGACAAGCCGAGTGATAAATCTAAAGTTGAGGATAAAGTTAAAACCGAACCTCCTCCTCGACAAAGTCAAGAAAGTAAGAACCCGTTTTCGCCCCACTTCTATAGAAGCAGTCGACCCCATGGTCATTTTGAGATGGGTCCACGTGGTTTGGACTATTCGCCACATCGTATGGGATTGGAGTTTTCCAATCGTCTTCGAGAGTATGGTCCTCAAAGATCAACGTCTATCCATGGCCATGAATTGACAGATGGTCCAATGCCGATGAAACCTGAATACTTGGGTCATAGAAGTCACTTTGGAAGTCAGATTGTTCCTGGCGGTATGAACCACCCGGATGTTGTGTTCCGTCAAGATTATTATGTACCAGTTGGATTATCCCCACCACGAGCTTCAAGGTTTTCCTCTCAGGAGTATTTAAATGCTCCTGCTCAATATGGCAGATGGCCAGACTACAGGGGCGAATACCGTCAGCGCAGAAGGTCTCAACAGGATCTGCATTCTATGGGCCATAGTCCTGAATCAGGTATATTTAGTTCTAATTTTAGAATTATTCGTAACGATTCTATGGATTTCAATTAATTTGAATAATTTAATTAGGCCTTTTACAATTTTCTATTGAAATAATGAAGATATTTTTATTCTGAGAATCTCATTTAATGAAATTTTTTAGATATTAATATTCAAATGTCAAGATTAATTATAATAAATAAATTTTGACATCAGATTATTTGTTATTGCTCATCTGTATTTGAAACGTAATTTCGGGAACAAAAAATTTTTTTTTTCATAATCTTCTTTCATATAATATACGGTTTATTTCGCATATCTTTATGTAGATATTTAATGAATGAAATTCAAATCTGTTACCATGAAAAGTAGCAATACTTTAGGTAGGATTTTCACAATCCGTAACTAATTGGCTATAAATTATAATATATTCACAATTTTTCTATTGAAGCCAATCCTTTGAATGCCTTTCACTCTATTGCACAAAAAAAGTTTGAATGGAAAAATAAAGTTTTTACCAATCATAATTGAGTTTTAAAAAATCCGAGATACTTAAAACTCCTGTAGGACGAGTCTGTCTAAAGTGAAAGTTCCCTTTATTTTTAATATTGAGGACAAAGATGAAAAAGTGTGACAGAAGCCGAAATCAAAAGCTAGTAGTAGCGTCGTGAATCAGGTTACCATATTATAGTCTTAAATACTGTCTTAAAGACTTATCTTCTATCTATGACATGACATATAATAAAATTCTGAGTCGAATCTGTACATCAAATATTTTTTGGAAAATCTTATTGAAATAATCTTTATTATCGATACAGAGACTGAATCTATAGTCTTTAGAGTTTTTGTCTGTCTGTCTATCTGGGAACGCATCACTTTATTCTTGAAACTATCTTAGATCTTTAATATTAATCTTACTAATATTATAAACGCGAAAATTTGTAAGAATGTATATATAGAAGTTACTCTTTTACGCAAAAACTACTGAATGGATTTGAATGCAACTTTACAATATAGCTCATACATCAGAATATCACATAGACTACTTTTTATCCCGGAAAAATGTACAGTTCCCGTGGAATAGATTTGTTTTTATTTTTCTAGATGCAAACCTGAGCGAAACGGGGGCTAGCCGCTAGTATTATATAGTTAAAAAAAGTATTACCCACTTAATCTTAGAATATGCATATGGGAAAAAGGAGCCATTCCCAACACAACTATTATCTTCGGATTACTTCCCAGTATTCCCAGTAGGGAAGACCCGAAAATACTTATTGTAAAGAAGATTAAGAAACAAAACTATTTTTATTTTTTTGTTTATTTATTTATTATTACGAGAAAACCACTGGACAGATTTTGATAAAATTTGGTATGATGATAGCTAGTTATCCGGGTCAACATCATCACAACATATTATAAAACAAAGTCCTCCGCCGCGTCTGTCTGTCTCTCTGTTCGCGATAAACTCAAAAACTACAGCACCGATTTTCATGCTGTTTTAACCAATCTCGAGGAAGGTTCATTAAGTTTTTCTATACATTGGCCAAAATATAACGATATTTGCTGGAGGTGTCAGAAAAAATAAGCCGCCTGGGAACTTTCAACAAAAACGCTTAAACCCTTTGAGTTATAACAAAAAAGTATATGGTGGAAAATTCCGCGATGGCATATGTCTATCTCTTAAGAATAACATACTATATCCATTTTAATTTAAAAAATACTTAGGGACGAACCCGAGCGAAGCGAGGGTGATCCGCTAGTATAGGATACTTTTTACTACGGCGTAATATCTCGTCTCTGAGAAATCTATTCTAATCGTTAAAACATAACTATGGACAAACCCGACCGGAGCGAGGGTGAGTCGCTAGTTTACTTCATAAAGATGGTATAAGCGAGATTTTTTGAATCGCTCTATTTAAACATTGATTCTAAATAACAGTAGGCGTTAATATATAATTTCCATCCCAAGTCTCAAGACTCATAAATCTTTTGTAAACAAACTCTGTCTTTATTGTACGGAAATTTTGAATTTATAATTTCATTTAATAATTTTATAATCAGATTCGAAGGGTTCGACGACGGTTAGCTTTGGCTGGTATGTCCGTGATTATCTTAATTTACATTCAACTCTTTACGTCGATTATGTTGGATGAAGTAATATTAGCGAACCCGCCGTTCTCCTTGTAATATCAGTGTAATTCGTTACCTTTCGCAATTTCTTAATTAAATTTGTCGCAGGCTTGATTGGTTGTTTAAAAACTAGTTAGAGTTCAAATACCTTTGTTTAGTTTTATTATGTAACTGGGTAGCTTTAAAGCGAGTAACGTGGGTTCAAATCACGGTACTCTCCTTGGAGATTTTATGTGAAGGTTCACTTTCTAGAAGAATATTATTAGTATTATTTGTTAATTTATTATTATACTGGCGGATCTGCCAGTATAATAATACCAGATGCCACATGTTGCTGTGTCATACAGATTTTGTCATCAAAAAGGAGATAATCGGGATAAAAACTATCTTTTAAGATGTTACAAATCACACAATTTGAAAAAAATACGTTTAGATCATGTAAGAAGTTTCGGAGTTCATCGCGGACCAACATCGCTACACGATTTTTTTTTATATTAAGATTACTAGATTTGTCTATGTCGTCTAGAAGAGTATAGCTCGTAGACGTTCATTCGTTAACGTCGCGTCGTTTCCAGACTTACGTTTTAGCACGAGTGCACACTGGAAAGTGATATCACTAGAACGGTTTTTAAAGTAAGAAATCTAGTATTCATATAACTTTTATTATGAGTATAGAAGCAAGAGAAAAGGAGATATTGAGATAGATAGAGAAAGAGAGAGAGAGAGTTTAACATTTTTTATTAATGTGCTTTTATTAGTTTTACTTGCAACTATTTAATTTATGTATTTCATAATTCTTACTTACTCTTAGTCTAAGATGTGATCAGAAGGATGTTTTATTTTTTATTTTTAAAAACCATAGTTATTTAATTACGTACTATATCATAAATTCTTTATTTATTTAATTTTTACAAGTCTCCGTTGGTTGTAACTAAAGTTACAATAAACATAAGCCATGTACAGAAATAGAACTCACGACCTTCGGCTTAGCTTAGTAGCCGATGAACAACGACTGGTCGGAGTGTGACATGCTCGTTTATAATCTAATACATGAAGTGATTCCCTTAGCTGTTACACCGTAGGTCACGATAGTAGGTTAGTAAACTCTAAGTGAAGCATAGCAAAGACAATGGACTTTAAAGTTTCAAATGTTTAAGGCAATTTAAAAAAATCTCATAAATAGTACTATTAAAATGTTGCATGTGTGTATGTTTGTTACTCCTTCATGCTAATGTTGCTGGTCGGATTTTGATGAAATATTACATATGAATGATGTATATGTAGATAGACTATGACATTGAGGAACACATAGGCTCGTGTTAGAAAATTTGCCAATCTATACAAATAAATAAGATTGAAGTGTCTGTTTGTAATGTCAAAATAACAGCTTTTTACTAAATGAACATGAAAGTATTTACGGTACTTATAAGAAAAATACATTTTTTTTAATTGCTATCCGTCTATCTGTCTGTCTGTCTGTCTGTTCCGACTTATCTCCGAAACGGCTAGACTGATTTTGACGGGACTTTCACTGGCAGATAGCTGATGTTATAAGGAGTAACTTAGGCTATTTTAGATAAAGAAGTAAGTCGCTAGTCTATATAATATAATTCTTAACGTACGTTATGTTATCGGTATATTAGGTTTAAAAACTTTAACGTTATCTATATGGACATAGTGTTAGTACTAAAGTAAGGAAACTACAGTTCAGTCACTATGTAAGTATTCGCAAAGTTCGTTATTCTTGGAACGAAGGAAGATGTGGGCGTTGACTTTTCTAAAGTTAGTAATTTTTGTAATACTATTTATTACTTCGGATACAGTCGCAATATTAATTTTAACCAACTTGCAAAAGGTAGGAGGTTCTTATTTTACAAATACTAAAATTCAATTGAATTTACTCGATAAAACTAACATTGATTGACAGATAATGACAGTGTAAATTGTTGGATCTAAAGTCTAGACGCAATTTTGCACAAGAGCTGATACTTTCATAATATATATATATATATTTTAAACGATTTTTGAAAAAACATCCGTTTAATTCTTTAAAGTTATAATTTATGCAAAAAGTGACGTTTATGCCTCTATTTTATTGGCATTAGTACTTGATATACTTAAAATTTTGTAAGTATTTGTAAATTTAGATGACGTTTCTTGAGCTATTTTGATCCATTACTTCTAACCTAATCTAGCCATAGCAATAACTCCACATTTGCTAACATTTTTTAAATATACATGCGAATAAAATTAACCAAATCTCGTAAGTTCTTTTTTTAAAGTTGGTCAAAATCTCAGTCAGTAGGACTTAATTAAAATGTATCGATAAAATTGAATTATAATAAGTTATTAATTTGTTTATCCCGTCAGTGTATCAGCTGTGAGGTCGACGAACCCAGCTCTATCGATCTCATTCATGCGTGGACTAAAGGTGTATACATGCAACATTATTGGTAGCGAAAATCTACTAACGTAGTATTTATATAATACTTTCTTAGATTTACGCGAATATTTGATATTTTAAATAAAACTATCTTTTCGGATTTTTTACCCGATTTATTTAGGTTTTTGGTTCCCGACGTTTCAAATGCTTTAAGCAATCATGGTCACGGGAGAGACTCAGGTTTTAGACATCTTAAAAGTCATTCATTATATAATTGTTACAGACAGTGCCTACCCGCAAATTTACAAAATAATTATGAAAATATTGTAAGGTACTTTGGTGCCATTATTTGTATTTGTTTTTTATAGTATTTGTTCATTTGCAAGTAGTATTTATATTTAAAACTATCTCTTCATCCGGTTTCTTTTTTATATTTGAAATCCAAAAAATAATCTATACTATAATACTATAAAGAGGTAGTTTGTGAGTTTGTGACGTTGTAGGGGGTAATCTTTGGATCTACTGAACCGGTTTAGATGAAATTTGGTAACAAGAT